ATTTTTGGGGGTGTGCTCCTGAAGTGCGATGGGGGCAACACAGCTCGAGTCCAGCCTGCGCCAGCAGATCGAGCCGCAGCTCCCGGTGCGCTCCGCGGCCCCCCCCCCGGCCCAGCGCAGCCCCGCGCGCGGGGGGGTGCGCCGGCCGTGCGCCCCGCGGCGGCCGTCGCGGTGGCCTGCCATGAGGCCAGCTTCCGCAGAGGGAGGGTCCTCCCTCCTCCTCCTCCTCCTCCTCCTCCTCCTCCTCCTCCTCCTCCTCCCTAATTACTCCTCCTCGGCCTCATCGTCCTCCTCCTCCTTCTCCTCCTCCTCCTGGCTCCTCCTGGCTCCTTATCGAGGATAAAGAAGTATCTGAGGATTTCGTTCGCTTGGATTTCAGACAACTGCGCAGTCACCATTTCACGGCCACGATTGCGCCCCCTGGCCCATTTCGCGGTGTCTCTGACCCTGGGGTCCCTGGTAGGCCCGACCCCCCCCCCGACCCTGTTGCCCCGTACGTGTGTTCCTGGACGAAACGGGAGGGGACGCAATGTGGCGCTTCTTTCTGCACGAAGCGGGGACTCACTGAGCACTTGAGGCACAAGCACGGCGTTTACAATTTAGCTGCTCTGCTTTGCCTGTCCAACGAGTGTATCGTGTGTAGGAAGATTTTCTGGAATAGGCAAACGGCCTATCGACACCTCGAGGGTTCGATATTCAGGGGGCACTGTGGAACGAGAGGGCCGAGTGCGATTGCGACCAGAGCTGAACCGAGGGATCTTGGGTGCCGCATTTGCTCGTACGAGTCGGCCGACTACGACGACCTCTGTAGCCATCTTCGGGCTCATCTTCCCTGGTCGGTTTCCTCGGGGGCGTGTTTTCTCGCACGACAGCGTCTCCGCCATGACCTCGGACGTGGCGATGCCCTCTTGGATGGTGAGGGCGGCCTCGCCCCCTGCATCGGCGCCGCGCCCGAAGCGGGGCAAGGCAGGCAACCACAAGGAGAAGGCCGACCAGCTGCTGGTCATCATCGCGAAGCTCGCCTTCACCACTGCCCGACAGGCAGCGCAGCTCGAGAGCGCGTGCTACACCACGATGTTCATCAGCGAGGCCGAGGGCAGCCTGGGGCAGGTGTGCCGCAAGAGCGGCATCGACTACGACGGCGAGAGCAAGAGGCTCCGCGAGAGGGTCGCGGGCGGGGAGTCGGTCGACTTCAAGGCCCGCGGGCCGCCTCACGCCCATCTCTTCGGCGCCATCATCAAGCGCAGCATGGAGATCACGGCGTCGGGGGGGGGGGCGACTCAGAACGCAGACGGGCACAAGATCTTTCGAGTACTGGCAGCAGGTCATCGTCGCCAAGAAGCCCCAGGAGATCGCGGCGGAGGTCCCCCACTGCAAGTACCGCAAGGCGGGGACCACGGGAGAGGACGCCAAGGGGGTCCTGTCGTTCGTGCTGAACTCGAGGGCGCCGTCCGCCAACTCTCTGTACCCGATTCTTGTGGACTACCTCTCGAAGATAGAGAAGGCGGAGGCGGTGCACGGTCCCGCGCCGAGGGGCCCCTTGGAGCGCGAGGCAGGCAACTTGCTCCAGGCTCTCTATCAGCCCTGATGGCCAGCAGCGAGAGGCTGGCATCCTTGATAGCGATGGGTATTGTCAGCCCTGCAGTTCTGTCCGCCACGAGAGTGGCGACGGTGTACGCATCACCGCTGATGCCCATGTCTGCCGCCCAAGTGTTGAGTCCGACCCGCCGTGCACGTAGAAGGACAGGAGCGGGAGGCGGGAGTGCCGCAGTTCCGAGCCAGCCCGTGCCCGCCGCCTCCGAACCCAATTTTTTAAGGCGTGCCTCGGACAGTCCATCCCGCCCCCCTGCGCAGGAGTTGATTCCTTCGAGGGAGGTCGGGGCGGCGCTTGCCAGCAATAGCAGTACTCAGGGGGAACGGCTCGCGGATGGGACGGGCGGGGCGTTGGAGGGCGGGGGGTCGGGAGTGGCGGGTCCGCGAGCTGGTCCCCGCCAGGCTGCGCGCCAGTCGGCGGGCCGCTCCCTGGGGCCGTGCGGGCGGCGCCCGACAGGCCATGGCGGCCACAACAGTTGACCAGTCCTCATTTCGATTGCCGCGAAGCGACGCCCAGGTGCGAGTCAGCCTCGAGACTTCCGTCTTGCCGCGCCCAAGGGTTCCGAGCCGAGCCTCCTCCTCCTCCTCCTCCTCCTCCTCCTCCTCCTTCTCCTCCTCCTCCTCCTCCTCCTCCTCCTCCCTCCTCCCCCTGCTCGGCCTCATCGTCGTCGTCCTCCTCCTCCTCCTCCTGGTTCTCCTCCTCCTCCTCCTCCTGCTGCTCCCCTCCTCCTCCTCCACCTCCTCCTCCTCATCATCCTCCTTTTCCTCCTCCTCCTCCTCCTCCTCCTCCTCCCCCTCCTCCTCCTCCTCCTCCTCCTCCCCCTCCTCCTCCTCTTCCTCCTCCCCCCTTCCCAGATCCGAGCCTGTTCGCCCCCGCTCGCGGGGCCCCCTCTCGGTGGGCAGAAGACGCTTCCATTTGGCCACGTATGGACTGGGGAGGTACAGGGAGCTCCCCAAACAGGCCCACAACCTTATGATCCCGATCACCTCTTCCAGCGATTGTTTTTTATCCGACATAAATCCTAAGCGTTGCGTGACATATGTTTTTATCCGACATAAAATCTGAGCGCTTCGCGCAATATAAGTTAATATAACATTGCGTGAGGGCGCGTGAGGGTTATGGGCCTATGGGCGCCCCAGGGCGCAACCTATGGCGCAACCAATAGGAGGACTCTTTATTATCGGGATTTCTGAGGCAATGCACCGTTGCATCCTTTGGCATTCTCTGCACAATGCATCTTACGATTGATTTCGAATGCTCTCGCCTTCCTTTCCCGAACCTCCACCTTCCTACACCCAGAGCCGTTCTGGCTCAACGTGTTCGGGCCGCGGGTGTTCGGCTCCTTGCACGTCCTTGCACTTCTGTATGATGGGTTCCATATGTCGGACGTGGAGCATTCAATCGTGTTGCATCTGATATCTAAGTGCTCTCTCACATCAAACGGAACATGTCATTTCAAAACAAGGGACGACTTGGTATCATGCTTATTCAATGTTTTGAACACACTCGGTGCTCAACAGTTCAGAAACGTGGGCCAGCTCAAAAAGAAATGTCCTCACCCGCGTACGATGGATGCAGTTGCAATTTGGCATGGAGTGAATTATTTTGGAAAGAGTGAGAGCTTGCCGTTGCCAAAATGCATGGACCTCATTGAAGTGGCTCGGGAAAAAATGGTTGCATTGGCGAAGGCAATGGCAGTGGTGGCAAAGCCAGAAGCAAAGGCCAAGCTTCCCACCAGTAAAAAAAGAAAGCTGTGCTTGAGTACAGATGTGCGAGTGGTTTCAAAGTCAAACGTCACAAAGGCTCAACGAAAAGAAATAGAGAAGAAGCTTTTGAGAAAAGAATTGAACAAAGTTAAAAAGAAGTTGGCCAGGGCGGAAATTGCCGCCAGCGTGGCTCGCAGCACAGCGATATGCATTAAGAAAAAAGGAGCAACGTACACGTCCAAGGTTCCAGCGAAAGCAGGCTATGCAATCGCGCTGTCTCGGAATTTATCACACATCGGTACGTTGGGCCTCACTCGCACCATGGATTTAGATATATCCAGACAATCGGTGGAACGATGGGAATTCATAGCAGCAGCAAACATTTGGCTTGAATCACAGCGTTTCTTTCAACGGTGCCTGCTGTATACTCGCGGGGCTGCAGGAGAATCGGACATCCAGTCGCGGGCCATATTTGCAATCAGAGGGGACGCTGCAAATTCAACTGTGGGCAAACAAAATGCAGATTACAAAGTGCACGTCTGTGCAGTCGATGCGTGTTTCAGGGATGTTGCAGGAGCCAGGTCAGATCGTCGCGTCGCCACTCCATGCCTTAACGAACCCGTACTGAACTGCACAGGTGGCAACGTCAAGGCTTTGTACATCAAACACATACAGGCAGTGGGCGTGCCAGCGTGGAACTCCGACTTCGGCGACTTGGGCTCCCACCTGATGTGGTATATTTTCTCGAGCGATCAGGGTGGCGACGAGAAAAGTGCGGCCAATCTTATTGCTGAGGAAGTCGCTGGACAAAAAAATGTATGGAACACTCGCGTATTCTGCTTGGACCACATCGACGCCCTGATCACTGGGGTGAATGTACAGCGGTACGACGTTTACTCGAGTTTACTTGCTACTATCACGAACACGATTCGCTCAACTGGAAACGGCCTCCGCTTCAAGCACGCCTGGAGAGACTTCGGGCCAGACAGCGGCGTGCAAGCACTCGTTCGGCGCCTGCCGCCGCGCCCTTTGAAAGGCAGATGGTCTTCTATCTTTGCGTGCGAAGAATGGTTTCACGAAGCTCGGCTGTGGCGCGAACTGCCCGTGGTGGTGAAGAAGGCGCTGGTTGAGTTTGACACCCATGTGAAACGGGTGCGCAAGCTGTTCGGCAAGACGAAAAAAAAAACAGAAGGCGAATGCAGACTTGGTGGAACTGGCGTTGACATTCGAAGAGGATGCGAAACACTTCCAGGAGCGCAAGGGCAAGTTCCAGAAGGCGACCATCGCTGGCTTGCAATCAATGAAGTTTTGGTCATCATACGTCGTCTCGCACGCGTCCAGATGGGGCGCCGAACATTTTTCCAGATGGCTCAGGAAAAAGCAGGAAGGAGGTTCGCAATCGGGGATGCTCGTCGAACTCATTGGGTTCAAGGGCAAGCAGATCTACGAGGGCATCGCGCGCTTGCTCGACGAGGAGTCGTTCGTCGAGGCAGCGGGCGCGGGCGGCGCGGGGCTGGCGACGGGGCAGGCAGACGGCACGCATGGGGTGAGTCGTTCGCGAGCTGGGGGCAAGGATGATGGGTTAACAGAGGGATGCAGGCAACGAGGGTGGCGATGATCGCTGGGGGAAAGGGGCCGAACGACTTACCTCAGATGCCGTCTGCCCGTCCTGCAGCCCCTGGCCGCCCTTGCGCACAGAGGTGTGGCGGACCCCGCTGGAGGAGGTCCTGAGTGCACCGAACCTCAATGATGACGGCGCGGGCTCGCTGGAAGAGCTCTTTTGCGAGGCGGTCTCTTCGGCGTTGGAGCAGCGCGCCGAGTTCTATCGGCGCGTCGTGCAGCCATACTGCCAGCAGTACCCTTTCCGACTGTTTTACATGGTTGTTTCGCCTGCCGACGCCAGGTGCGAGCGGAGGGGGCGCATCGCCCATGAGCTGCTCACGGACGCTGGGATCGTCGACGACACGACCATGAAGTTCAGGGCGGCGTTCGAGGCGGAATTGAAGCAGGCATCAGCTGACGGGACTCTCTGCAGTCGCTGCTGGACGCTGCTTGCCGACGCCGCGTCCATCCTGAAGATGTCCGTCCGCGACATCGAGGGGTGCAATTCGATACTTAAGTGGATGGACAAAGTGGCGCCCAGCATCAAGCTAAAACTCATGTCGAGCAGGCTTACACTCAAGAAAACGTTGGGTATCATTGGCGGGGACCAATCCTCCAGGACTGCTCGGCGAGATGCAAAGGAGAGGCGCGATCAGCTGATCGAGGATATGGCGGAGGGCCACGTCGCCACCATGGCATTCTGCAAATCCTTGGAGGACAGGCTCAAGGGCGCGGCCAGCGGCTCCGTCGACGCCGACAGCTACGACGCCATACCGCTGGCGCTGGCAGCGTTTCACTCCAACGCCGTCGAGGCCGAGGCCCTCGCCGTCGAGGATGGCCCAGTGGGCGGCCAGTCTGACGACGACGCTCTCGCTATCATGGATATGGATTCGGACGCGGAGTTCGTGGCTGCTGATTGCGTCGGGCACCGAGATGATCCACGTGGCGGGGCTGCTGCTGGGGCTGGAGGATCCAACTCAGATCGCGGCGGGGAGGACGACTGGGGCGACGACGACGGCCTCGAGCTCCAATTGCACGGCGGCGACATGATGGACCATGCGCCTGATCCGCGTTTTCCCCAGAACATTCTCGACCGATGCGCGGCGATATTGCTGAGCATGCGGAAGTCATTCGAGTCTACCGTCGGTGCGAGCTTTGGCCCATCGTCTGCCTACGCAGTGATTGTGAAGCACAAGTTTGGCGATGAGGGCGAAGACGTCGAAGAGTGGTTTCTCGTCAGCAGCAAGGTCGGGAGAGCGACCTTTTGGATCGCACCGCTGTGCCAGAACTTTGATGCTGTCAACCCTGGCGGGCTGGGCGCCGTCAGGTTGCAGAGGCCGATTGCGCATCGCAAATTCCACTGGGTAGTTGGGCATCTGATCCAGCAGGCAGGGCCCCGCGGCCTCGAGGTCCACTTGAGCGTCCAGGCGGCGCAGCTCAAGTGGGACAACGCGTTCCAGGCATCAGTCGTGGATGGTTTCCAGCTGCAATGCGCCAAGGCACGTAAAAGGTTGAAAAAGGTAGATGAAGAGGCGGTCGCCATGGCCATAGCCTGGGCCAACGGCGACGACGCGGCCGATGGGGACAATGGCGACGAGGAGGACGACGACAGCGAGGGCGGCGATGAGGCGACCGAGGTCGCCGAGGTCACGAAGTATCTCGTCTCCCTGGACCCTGGCGAGAGGGAGGACTTGGAGGCTGGATGCGGTGGCCACGACACTAGCATCGAGGAAGTCGTCGAGGCAGCGAAGGTGCGCATGGAGATGGGGGGGGACGAAGCCGAGGGCGATGCCGTCTATGATCGACCTCGACCGCCTCGTCCTCGCGCGGCGGCCAGCTGCGACGACTACGACGGAGATCGAGATGATCGAGATCGAGATGAACTGCTCCGTGTCAATCGAGCCAAGGCGTCCGCCAGGGACAGCTACAACGGGCTCAAGAGCCTTCTGGAGTCTTTGATGTCTGGCGGTCACGTCGTGCCTGAACCAACGAACAAGTGCGTGTCCCTCTTCTCCGTGGCCAGCGTGGTAGCAGGGGCGCATGCGACCTCGCTGGACTGGTGGTACTGGGAGGACGTCGACCTCGGAGAGGGGCGATGGAACCCTGGGAGTTCGGAGTAATGATGATCCAAGATGACCGCTCTTGGGGCCCCCTTGGGGCCCTCTTGGGGCCGATGGGGACCAGGCTGCAAGGGCCCACCGCCTTTGTCACGCCGTCGCCGTCGCCGCCGCCGCCGCTGGCCGACGACGCCGACGACGACGACGACGACGACGACACCTCCCACACGCTTGGAGCAACTTGAAAAACATGGAATTACTGACTTTCTGTTTTTCAAGTGGCAACGGCGGCGGCGACGACGACGCCGACGACGACGGCAACGGCCACGCACGGACGCCCGACGACGACGGCAACGGTCCCGAGTCGGCTCCAGAGGCCCCCAAGAGGGCTCCAACCCAGGGTTGTGGGCCCTCAGCAGGTGCTCTAAGAGGGCTCTGGGATAATCCCAAGAGGGCTCCAGGAGGGCAGAAAGATTGTCCAGGAGGAGCCATGGGAAATGATTTTGGATTTGTTCACCCTCCCCAGAACACTTTGGGCCCTCCCCTCGTGCAAATTATGTCGGCCACAAGATGGCCCAAGAGGGCCCCGAGGTAGGATTCGTTGTGCTCCCCAGAGGATTCGGGTCGACTCTGACATGCGCGTGGTCTACAAGCACCGCCCGTCGAGACCCGAAGATCGCCGACTGCCGCCAGGCGATCGTTGCTCCCCCGTGTTCCACACAACTGTCAGGATGGTCAAGCCGAGAGATATGAGGGAGAGGATGCCAGAACAGGTGGTCTCAGCCTTCAGATTCATCAGGAAGGCTCGGGGGGTGGTGGATAGTGATCTCTTTTTCGGTGCAGCTTTGTGCAACGTGTGCCATGAACGGGTCAAGGCAGACGACTCTGCGTGCGCGGCATGTGGCCTGATCGCCCACTCGGGGTGCTTGGACGAAGTGTGTGCGCGCACGGCGCTTGAAATTAGATGTGCCAGCGCATTTGGCCAGGCTCCTAGTTGGACATATTTGCAGGTGTTGCGCAGCGTCATTCGTGCTGGAGTGATCGCATTGGCGTGCTGAAAGATTGATGTCGAGAGCGTCACTCGAGCTCCCTGGTAATGAGGAGGAGGAGATGCAGGAGCAGGACCAGGGCCAGAGCCAGGAGCAGGAGTAGGAGGAAGCCCCCAGGAGGACCCAAGAGGCCACTAGAAGCCTCAAGAGGCCCCCACCAGAGGGCTTCAGGAGGCTCCTCAGAGGCTCCCAAGAGGCACCCAAGCAGCCCCAGGAGGCAGCCGAATGATCCCCCGAGCACGCAAGCAAGCGCCAGCGATGCTACAATATGGGCAGGCGGAATGAGCGAAGCGATTGAATATTCACATAGTTGCTATGCTGTGTTTGGAGAGCTCGCCACAGACGATAAACCAAATCACACATATGCTATGCTGTGTTTGGAGAGCTCGCCACAGACGATAAACTAGTCACACACATGCGATGCTGTGTTTAGAGAGCTCGCCACAGACGATAAAATATTCACACACATGTTATGCTGTGTTTGGAGAGCTCGCCACAGGCGATAACATATTCACACATATGCTATGCTGTGTTTAGAGAGCTCGCCACAGGCGATAAAATATTCACACATATGCTATGCTGTGTTTAGAGAGCTCGCCACAGACGATAAAATATTCACACATATGCTATGCTGTGTTTAGAGAGCTCGCCACAGCCGATAGAATATTCACACATCTGCTATGCTGTGTTTAGAGAGCTCGCCACAGACGATAAAGTATTCACACACATGCTATGCTGTGTTTGGAGAGCTCGCCACAGGCGATAGAAATATCAGACGCATCACACCGTGGGCGGGCACATCTAAGGCAGTATTAGGTGCATCTTGGGCCGTCTTGGAGGCATCTTGGGGCCATCTTGGAGGCCATCTTGGCCGTCCTGGTGGCATCTTGGAGGCCATCTTGGCAGTCTTGGAGGCCATCATCTTGGGCGTCTTGGAGGCCTCTTGGCTGGAAACCACGTGTTCTCACACATGCGAAGCATGTCTCGTCCGTCGCGCCACGATTTCGGCAGGACGAAAAAAGTCTCGGAGCCCTCTCGGGGCCGTCTTGGGGGCCTCTGCGAGGCATTTGAAATCAAATATTTGAGGCTTCGGCAGCCCTTGCGGGACCTTCAAACTTGGATTTCGAGGTCCTCGAGGGGCCTGGCCGTGGTCCCAGGGCCGGTATTGTGATGCCCGCGGGCACCGAAACAACTTCAAAACAACGTTGCACCCATGGAGCGTCGCAGCATTTTTTTGCTCAAGTTCGTTCATCTGGCGCCTTTTCGCACTGGGAACCGTTCTGGTTCATCGCGTCACGATTCGAGACATGGCGAGTTCTGCCGATGCGGAGGCTCACGTTGACACCAAAACCATGTACCCAGGCCTCACAGGGCGCTCCTTACAGGACAAAATATGGGATGAGTGGGTGATCAACAAAGAATGCGTGGTGACCAGACCCTACTTCGACTCTCGTTATCCTGGCCAGAAGATATTCGAGCGCCACGAGCTCAACGACAGATACGAGGAAGATACTTGACTACAAGGAGGGAATCATCAAGGACGGCGTGCTGCGTGGCGTTCGTAGCGAAACCTGGGTGATTGCACCGAATCCATCCGCTCAGTTCCCTGAACGCTTGTGGGTCGTGAGCGGTGCCACCCTCAAAGAGGCTGCGTACGGAGCCTTCGAGGATTCTCCAGACGTTGAGAACGTCAAGCGCACCATCGAGGGCCAGGTGCGCGATGTCACGATCTTCAGGCACGACACGCCGAGCATTGTGATTTTGTACTTGGTGGACTTAGGGAACCAGCTGGTGGGGAAAGGGTCCATCGTCAGCCACATCCAAAAATATCGGAAGACCGACGAGTACAAGAAGAGCTGGGAGTGCTACCGCAAAAAGCACGGAATAGTGTCGAGAGATGTTGATGGCAGCCAGAAGGGCTATTATCAGAAACGCAAGGAATGGCTGAATTCGAGACCGACGCCTTTCTTCAAAAAGCTCCTGCCGTTCGACAAAGCATGCGACTTCTTCGGTGATGCAAAAGGCGAGGTGTGGGATCGCTACTTGAAGTTCTGCCAGCGCTCCTGCAAGTTCCTGGCGATCAAGGAGACTTCTCACGACTCGATTTTCGTGCTCAACGATTTCACGCTTCGGCAGCTGGGGCGCGGGTCGCCAGGGCGCACGTCGGCGATCCTGTCCACGCTTAAGTTCATTGTGCCGAACTCCGACGTCTCCATCTACATTGGTGATGGCACGCAGTCGAGTGGCATGGAAAAGATCAAGCGCCTGTTGGAGCCTACCGAGCAGGACTTCAACTCGCTCAAGGAGCTGAGGGGGACTCCTGAGGCGGCGGCTGGCAATGGAAGTAAGGCACCTCTCGTGGACTACGCCGCAGACGCGCTGAGGCGCTCGTGCAAGGTCAGAGACACGACGCCGACTGCAGAACAGCTGGAGGCGATGTGGGACCGCATTGTCCAGCTCGGCATCGACGGCAAGGTTTGTCTGGTGAAGACGCCCGACCATTTCCTCCAGCTCTACCGCGGCGCCGTCGAGGCGAGGCCAGGGAAAACGAAGAAATTGAAGGGGAAGGGCACTGAGCAGCAGTACGAGGTAAACGCCGAAGTCCTCGAGGTTGACTTGGAAGATGCTACTGGCGCAGGCGTTAGCGTCCGAGTGTTCAAGAAGATCGGCCCGTTGGTGTCCTACATGGTCGGCTGCGCCGCGAAGGCCAACAAGACAGGCAGAGGCCGCGCTGGCAGGGGCAAGAGCAAGACGGGCCACGACGATGATGGTGATGATGATTCACCTGCAGTGGCAGCTGACGAATTGCCGTGGCAGCGGACTCTGCGCGAGAACCCAGAGTTCGTGAACCAGGTCATTGACTTTACGAAGAAGAATCCGTTCACGTACTCCTCCCATGCGGCGGAAATGAAGTTGACTCCTAGGACGAATGCAGTGGTGAAGGATGCGGTGACTTGCCTCTGGAATCTGCAGGAGGATCTTGGTCTGCAGTGGACGTCCGAGTGCAATGGCGTTGCTGAGGCGTTGCGATTGGTCGTCAAGTCCGCGTTGGCACAAGTGAATTTCGGCTACCCGTCGGACACGATGTGCTTTGCGAGCGCCATCGCGGATGCGGACTCCAAGTTCTGGTCGCCTCCTGAGTCTGCCGATGATGCGCCGCTGGCTACACTGAAGACGATTTGGGACACTCCTTCCAAAGTCAAGCAGTTCATGGACCACAGGGCCACGCAGATCGCGTGCGTCCTCATGGAGGTGTCGGACATTCTCAAGACGGAAGGCAAGAGCGCATCTGGTCACGACGCCGCTGTCGCTGAGAAACTGGACGGCTTGCTGAAGTACGTCAGTAGGCACTCGTCCGTGCTTGCAGCCCTGGCTCAGTCCGACTCGAAGTTCCTGGCGTGCGACGAGGCCGAGATGGATGCTTGGATTCTGCACTGGGCTGGCACGATCGCCAGTTTCTCGAATCCTGAGTTCGAGAAAGGGCTGGCGCCCAAGGACGCTGGCTTGCTCAGGATGCAGGCCAACCTTCTCAGCATTACTGACCTCAGAGCAAAGCTTGGCAAGAAGCTGAGAAACACGAAGGGCGAGGGCGCCTCTGACAAGCCCCAGTTGATCATGGAGTTCGTCCAGCTGGAGCAGGACAGGTCACCGCCGCCGCAACGAGTATTCGACCTCCTGAAGTCTGCCGCCCAACAGGACTGTTCCACCAAGGCGCTGGTGGCCAAGATCCAGAGCATGAAGGAGTACCCCAACCACGTCCACCTGGCGTCTCCCAACTTCGTCGGTCACATCTTGTCTACGGCCGTTGAGTCGGCATGCTACTCCGAGATCGCCGAGGGCGCCCTATCGTCAGCGGGTGTCCTTCTGAAGCAGAAGGAGGTCAAAAGCGGCAAGGTTTTCATCGACTTCGAGGCCAACCAGGGCAACGTCCGACTTGCTTTCCCAGGACTGGGGGTCGGGTCAGGTCCGAAACAACGTTGACAGCAGGGGGACTCCTCCTGGGGCTCCTCTTGG